AGTTCATTGAATCATGTCTAATTGTAGCAGCTAAAGAAATGTGTCCAGAGAAAATAAACTTAGGACCATTAGCCTTTTGGTGAGAACAGTTGCTTGAAGAATTGAGAACATTCAGAGCAACATCAATAGTTAATGAAAAAAGAAGGCAAATAGTTCTGGGCGGTTTTCCTTGGCTCTTGATGAGTGAACAGATGTTACCATCTCCACTCAGTTGTGTATTTGAGAAACCAGTGCTGCGTTTGAAAGTGAATGAAGAATTAGCCTCTGTGAATAGTCGACACAGAACAACTACAGGTGAGACTATTTTCAAACACGTTGAAGAAGTAATTATTCAGTACATGAAACAGAATCTTCTAAGATATGTTACAACTAATGATGGGGAAAATACGCCTGAAGCAGAAAAAGGCATAGTTGGACAAATTCACAGAATGTAGTGTTGAAAGCCTATAGTTTCATTATGTTGTTTGTCAGCAGGTACTGTGTAGAAAATTTGCATCAGTTATGTGTTATCAAACCAGTGGTGTTCAGTAAGGAACTTCATTCACTCTTATGGATTTAACCATCATTAGTTCAGTGAATTTTTGTCAGGAATGGAAGCTGAATGTCTTGACTTAACACAGAGCAATTTGACTGTGTAACAGTGATATACATTGTACTCTTTTGAGTTCCAGGCCAAGGTTAAATTTTTTCTAAATGACAGGAATCACCCTCAGCCACTATTATTGAAGACTGAATGGCTTTGGAAATTAGCTTTTGCTGCAGCATTGATATTGAATTCAACCTAAAAGCAGAAGGCAACATAGCAAAGTCATTTTGATGACAACCAACAATGCAAATACAAAGAAAAGCTCCACATTTTAAGATTCATTTAACTGTTAATGGAAGAGCTTCAGTTTAACTTTCAGTTGGAAGTGATTGATCTGTAATACTTTCAGATGACAAAAGGCAACTATCAAGAGAAGAATCTAATAGAGTAGGAAACAGAATTTAGAATTAGATTTAGAATTTTCTCATATAGAATAGAATTTTACAAATACATTACAGGTGATACGTATACTTAATTAAATAGTATTCTT